AAGTCGAATGTTTATTTAAATGAATGGAACACTTAAATAAAAATTAATTTCTCTAGAATATAAATCAACTTCAAATGACTTCAAATAATTATATATCAAAGATTATATCATGGTTAATACATATATCAAGTCAAAAACTTAATTAGATCATTGGAACAATTAAATAAATTTAATTAAAATAAAATAATAAAATCTCTAGATTTTAAAACAACTCTAAATGATTCCAAATTAATAAATGCTAAAGAACAAGTCAATATCATTACATATATCAAGTTAGATACCTAATTAAATCAATGGAACCATTAAATAGATTTTAATTATTTCATTTAATTAAAATTTCTAGATTTCAAAACCCATCCAAATATTCTCAAATTTATATATGTTAATGAAGAAGTCAAGGCCTGATTTAATATTATATCTTAAGTTAATTCCACACTAGATGCAACTATGTGAATTCAAATTACATACAAGGAATAATTAAATTAAATTCTATATTATATACAAAGACATGCATACAAGTTATATAAATCTCAAAAATAATTAAGACACCAAGATTGTAAACCTATAAACATCCCCTACCTCAATTTGAGATGAAAATCTCAAATGACACCAATATGAAACCTCTCCGAATCCAACGATACTTCGAGGATACGATAAGGACAACGAGGGGAACAATAAACCCTCTTGCGGCAACACCAAAATCCAAACCCGAACTCAAAAATGGTCAAAACCAGATTCTAAAAGAAGGGAAATAAAGGCCTCGTCAAGGCCGACAATAAAGCCTTCATCGGTGAGGGAAGAATCAAAGGGGAAGAAGTCCAAAAGGAAGAGAGAAGATGGTAGCCCAAAGGGGAGAAAATGGCCGGCAACCATGGGAGAGAAAGAAGAAAAATCTAATTTTTCCTCTCTCCTCCCTCCTATTTATAGAATTCTCAAAATGTGCCCCGAACAGGTCCCGCGCGAACCCGAAAAGTGAAATCCTTCCAGACACACTCAAAAGGAAAAACATCATGACCAAAAAAGAACCGAAATGAAAAAAAAATAAATAATGGAAGAAACGGCGTCAAAAATTGAGTCCCGAATATAAAGATATGCCCTGAACAAGTTCGGTGGCAACCGGGGTTAAAAATCCTAAAATTGGAAAAAATGACCGGAAGACAATTCTAAGAGTATACGACTCGACGTAAAGTGAAAATGAATCCCGTAGGAGGATCCAAGCCCAAAACAGGACACTTGGTATTAACTTTCGTAAATTGCACAATGGCCCCTTCAAAAAAGGATAACTGCACGAATGACCCAAAATGAAAACATCTTCCAAAAGATACTTTCCTAAAAACCCCTGAAATAAGATATCTTTAAAAGATATTTATGAAAAACACCCCAAGAAAGAAGAATGTTTCTGAAAAAACTTTTCATCCATACCCCTACGAACACAGTGAACAACCAGTGTACTTTTCTACAAAAGTAAAGATACACATTTCATGGAAACCAAATGGAATGAAGGTACGTAAAGTTGGAAATCAAATCTAAGCACAAAAAGTGAGGTTACGCGAAAGGAGTGACAAACGGGAAAAAGACGAAAAGAAAATGTTCAAAAAAGAAAAGGGGAGACGACACGGTCTTCACAAGGACGATACCAATCTCCCAAAAGAATAAGTCAAAAAAGAAAAGGGGAGACGACACGGTCTTCACAAGGACGATACCAATCTCCCAAAAGAATAAGTGTCAGGAACTATTCACGAGCACTCATGATAATTCGAAGGGTCAAAACTCGGACTCAGAAAAGAAAACATCAACGGAAAAAAAAAATCCGTAAAAATAGGGAAAAGAAATGAAGGAAAATGACAGGGTCATTACATTACTCATTGCATGATGTGAGTGAGTTGAAGGGTGTGGCAATTGTGGGGAAAGTAGTCTTGTAGGGAGGAGGATTAATATTTTCTTAAAACCGGGATTGGGAAAGTATCCCATTTACGGTGATATTAGTTAACTATAAGGATGGAAGGAGATACCCGAAGTCCAGTTAATTAGTATCTTTTTGGTGTGAAAGTGTTGGAGTCATGTGTGTGTGTGTGTGTGTGTGTGATGAAGGCACATATGGCATGGCATTCCCTTGGCATTGGAATATAGTTGGTATTTTGCTCGAAGGTTGATAGTGATTGAATTTCCTTGTATGATTCCCCTTCATTCTTCCTATGCTCTTACGTGTTATGTGCCATGCTTACTCAACTTGAGGAAATGCCATTTAGGCATCCTCTACTGAGCGAAGTGTTGCTCACCCCTTTATTATAACCATTTTCCAAGTCTTAAGAAAAAAGATGTCTCTCCACAAGTCTAGGCGAAACTTAAGGGACTGTTTTTGCTTATTTTGGAAATCAAAATGCATATTGTGTTCATGTCATATTTTGTAACTAAAGACCTAACTTGTATGAACCTTGGCATGTAATATATTTCAGCCTTGTAAATTATAGTATTGCAAATGTAACTTTAAGGTTCAATGTAAAGCAAAGACAATGAATATATGATATTTCAAGCAATTCCTTGTAGCATTACGTGTTTAATTTTATATCCAGTGATGCCATGTAAATGTAGACTACAGTATATATTTGGGACCCGCTTAGTATTTAGGACCCCGGGTTTGGGGCGTTACACCTTATGTAATGACCTAGTCATTTTCCTTCATTTCCTTTTTTTTTTTTTCCCCATTTTTACAGATTTTCTTTTTCCGTTGATTTTTTCTTTTCCAAGTTCGGGTTTTTATCCCTTTGGGTTGTCTCAAGTACTCAGGAATAGTTCCCGAGGCTCTTTTTTTTGGATTGATATCGTCTTGGTGAGGACCGTGTCGTCTTCACATTTTCTTTTTCTGACATTTTTCTTTTTTCGTCTTTTTCCCGTTTATCATTTCTTTTCGCGTAACCTCACTTTTTGTGCTAGGATTTAGTCCCGACTTTGCATGCATCCATTACATTTGATTTTCATGAAATACATAGTTTTATATTTTTAGAAAAGCATGCTACTTGTTTACTTTTTCGTAAAGGGCATGGATGCATAGTTTCTTCGGAAACATTCTTTATTTTTGCGATTTTATGTAATTAAATAATGTGATTATTTTTCGTTTTAGGGACCATTTGCAATTTTATTTGGAAGATATTTGGTGGAGGGACCTTTTTGCAATTATTTTGGATTATTTTGAGATTACTTTTGGAAAGAGGCGTGTTTGTGTTATTACCCAAAAGATGTGTGTGAAGAATATGGTGCTAGTGCACATAGTGAGTGGAGGAATACAAGATCCCCCACTCACTTCATTTCATCTCATCTCTTTGCTCTCAAAACCCTAACCTTGCCTCCATTGAAGTAAGGCTTGACCTAGACCTAAAACCATAGTTTTGGTCTCCTTCCACTCACCTTTTGACCTAAAATTTGGAATACTTTAGCTTCCCCTCACCCTCCTATACAAAACCCTTGAAGGGTTTCTTAGAAAACCTTTACTTTCTTTGAATTCTAAAGAGACACTTCTCTAGTAAGGTAGGGGGTGTTTCATGTTTATAAGCTTAGTGTTTTATATGCTTTTGGGGTTTATATAACTTGTTGCATATCTTTACTTTAGTTTTAAAGATTGTTGGTAGTAGTACCTTGCATGAAAATATGTTTTGACATAATATTATTAAAGGCCTTGACTTGATCTTTAATATATATAAACTTGGAATCATTTGGAGTTTTAAAATCTAAATAATTTAATTAAATTCCATTTAATTATTCCAATGATTTAATTAAGTTTTTGCCTTAATATATGTAATGACCATAACATGATCTTTGACATATAATAATTTGAAGTCATTTAGATGAGTTTTGAAATCTAGAGAATTTAATTAACTAATTATTTTATTTAATTAAATTCTATGTAATTGCTCCATTAATTTAATCAAGCATTTGACATTGTTTTATGCTTAAATCATGGATTTGGACTTGTTATACATTCATGCGAATATGATTTAAAAGCATGTTTAGTGTATATATATTTGTATATCATGTTATAGTAAATCATTTCATTTACTAGATTTCTAAATTTTAGAGATTTTGTTGTTATGATGATGAAATCTTGAATAAAATTAATAATGTTTACTTTGAAGACATATTATTAGATTGTAGTATATTTAGTAATTGTAGCTAACATGATAGTAATTTGGTTTAATTAATATTTAGAAATGTAAAGCATGTATAGTATGTATTTCATGTGTAAGTAAATTGTTTCATTTACTAATATATTTAATTCTAGAAATTTGTCTTGTTAAAACGATAAACTCTTGTAGAATATTAATTATGTTTACCTTGAGAGCTTATTACTAGGTTGTAGTATGCGTAGTAATTATAGTTTGCTTAATGGTGACTTGATTTAGTTGAATTATAATGTCATTGTAGCGTGTAATGAATCGCACATTGAAGATTCAACATTGTATACCATTGCATGTGTAACAAATCGCACATTGAAGATTCAACATGGTGTATGTCATTGTAGACTTGAATCCCTAGGACATGGTTTGTGTTGTTTCACCCGACTTGTGCTTAGTAGTTAATTTCATGCATTGTGATTGAATATATATCATGAACTTGTTGATTTTAGGAGTCGTAAGGACGTGAAAAATGATACGGTTAGGACTTGGTCCTAGTACGGGAGGTACGAGTTCTCTCTACATCCACTACAAGAAAAATAGTTTTTTACCACACTTTTAAAAAAATCATAGTAGAAGACCCCTTCTACCATGATTAATGAAAAACCATGATAAAAAATATATTCTTTTACCACGATTTTTAAATAACTGTGATAGAAAGTATATTCTTTTATCACGATTATTTTATAACCGTGATAGAAAGTGATTTAAAACCGTCGTAGAAAATGAAATATTTTCACTTAACTTTTGCCTGGTCTTTTTCCCGCTAGTGTCAATAATATATATATATATATATATATATATATATATATATACTGCTCACATGGACAGAAACCACAACACAAACATATATCTCAAAAGCCGGCCGCCCCTTTCTCGATCTTGTTCACGATTCGGAGTCTATGGCCTCTGAAATTCTTGAAATCAATGTATACGGAGGCAGCAACGCAGGAGGAAGCTCCACCGCCGCCTGCTGCCGAGGAGAAGCTGCCGGAGAAAGAAGAAGATAAGAAAGCAGAGCAAGGAGTTGAAAAGAAAGCACCGGAAGAGAAGTAATAAGATGAAAAGCCAGTGGAGGAAGCCAAAAAAGAGGGGAAACCGAATGAGAATCCAAAACAAGAGGATTTGCCCCTTTCTCCAAGCCCTAACCCTTGCTCCCTCTCTCATTCGAAGCCCTAACTCCTCCCTCCCATTCGAAGGACACTTTGGCGTCAAATCAAACCGTCTCTGCATTTTCCGTCTAATCAAGCGCCGTAGTCTCTGCATTTTCCGTCGAATTCCATCTCCTTTCTCTCTGATTCTTCTCTTGGGTATGTCGATCTGCATCTTTTATCTTCTTTTTTTTTTTTCATTTTTTTTTTTTTCATTTTCAGTATATATATGCATATTTGTTGAGTTGATATTCTGAAAAAACAAAAAAATTGAAAAATTGAAATCTAAAAAGAAAATGTTGGACTGAAATTGAACAATGGGACTTGATTGTTGGACTGTGATTTTAAATTGAAAAAGGTATTGAGCTGAAAATCTGTAATTCGAGTTTGGGAATTGTTGAATGGAGTAGGGGCAGTTTTACTTGGGTTGTGATGAAGCTACATTTTTCTTTGAAAAACCTGTGAAGGGCTAGTCCCTGAATTTTCTAAAAAATTAAGCAGTGTATTTTGAATGGAGGTTGGGGCAGAATAGAATTTGAATTTGTTTGTTATATTTGTTGTGTTGCTGATGGAGAATGGGCATTGTTGATTGGTTTTTGTTGGGGCAGTTTTTATGTAATGAAAAAAACTGGGATTGAGATTCAACCATTGTGATGTTGAAAATCATTTTTCTTAAAAATTGTGAAGGGCATATCAACCAATCTCTGTTGATGAAGGCAAATAAAACTTACGAATATCCATGAATACCCCTTGGTTCACCTTGGATCACCATATGCTTTGAGCCACCAAAGTATAAGCCAGTTGGTGCAAGCGACCCAGGTTCAAAAAAATCATTCATTATAGCAGTTATTTCTTCAGGCTTAAACTGAAAAAAAAAAATAAATAAATAAAAAATTAATCTTGATTCTATACAAAAATAGTAATTGATTAAATGAGTACAATGTAATGAATCTTTAAAACTATTGAGAAATTAAATGTTTTAAAATAAATAAATAATGCACGTAAAATATATCGTTAAATTAATTAATATCTCCCTTAATTAATAGAATTTATGTGGTCCTAATGCTATTGTTTTGTAGAGGTTATACTGTAATATGTCATACCAATTAACACAACCAAGTAGCTAGATGCCAAAATCTTAATGAACATGGAGATTTAATGAATGAAGATAGGAATGAGAATCAAAATGAAGAAAATGTGAATGAACTTGAAGATTTGGTAAATGAAGAGTATATGAATGAGAATGATAATCTTCCTTTGAACATTAATGATCTAGGAAATTGGAAAAATATTGATAAAAAAATGAGAGATTTATTAATTATGCTAATGCTAATGTCAACTAATATCATATTAATAAAGGTTGGATGCACCTTAATGACAGGGTATAGGGGGTCACGTGCGTTAAGTGACCAATTTTGCAGTAGGTTATAGTAAAGGTTGAATTTACTATATAGAAACACATCATATATTTTTTTTAATCCTGCAACTTAGGCAAGCTAAATCAATCATACTTGCCAAACCAACTAGTAAGCAGCCTAGGTGCAATATTATCTAATCCATTCGCATAGAGCTAAGGTTGGTTAGTCTATGGTCAATTACCTCAATTGTTATCATCAGCTTGAGCTGGTGCTTAACAAGAATCAACCTACTGAATAGCAGCCTAATAAGCTAGAAAACTGAATTGGCTGAGTGCCAATTAAGTAACATTAGGAGGTGGGCAATTTCAGCTGCCATTCTACTCAATCGTAAAGTAAAGTGAACATATTGAGCAGACATTGATCAAACAATACGTAAATTATGAGTTTGAAAGCAGATTGACCCAGTGTTTCATTTGAGTTCTAAATTCAAATTGTAAAAAGGAATATGTACAGATAAACACAAACATATGTGCACATATATATCACATAATCTATATGTATATCATCAATACTGTTATTATGATCGATGACTATAATTAGAGAGTTTTATGGAATGGTTCACTATGAAAAACCTAATAATGTTTTTTTTCACCGGCTTGGCTTGATGGAGAGGGCATATATTTTTTGGTCCCGGTGGTAGAGGACATTCAGTTGCAGGCTTGCACCATTATAACTTCCTATTTAAATATTCTCTTCTCTTGCTAAGATCCTGGACCAATTCTGATTTGGCTTATTTTAATATTCTTCTCTAATTAGTAATTGCTAAGATACTGGACCAATTCTGGTTTTGAATTTTTAATATTATTCTCTTTGATAAGATACTGGACCAAGTCTAATTTGGCATTACAAGTTAACCACAAATGACAATTTTTCTCAATTATAGAAATAAACAAGTACAGAAGACTTGGTTTACTCTATTACTATGAGTTTAATAATAGTATTAGTGAGAACCAGCACATGCTAACCAACGAGTAAAAAGTATTTAAAACCCACTTATCATCTACTCGCCATTATAGATGATAAGTTTAATCACTCCATCTTAATCTAGTATTTTTTTCAACGTTTGAGAACGTTTTGGAAACGCAGAGAATAGTAAGGGAATAAGTATGAGTGTAACTCTATTTTGAGTTTCGAATTTTAGGACATGCATGAATTCCATTTTGTCAAGTAGGTCTTAGAAATCAGATTTTGATATTCAAAAAAGGAGATAAAAACATTTTTGTTTTATAGAAAAATCTTGTCAATTTTGGAAGCTAATTAAATATATCAGTTGGAAAGATTAATCGTTGGAATTGCTTTTCAATTCCCAAACAACATGGAATATGAATTTGGAGACAGAAAATGACTAGTATAGAACAGAAACAAAAGGACACTAGGATAGGGGTTGTCAGTTTCTCACATATGCGTAATAGAAGGATTATATAGTTTGCATGTGATAGGATAAAACTGTTTCTGATTCCAGTGAAAGCCAGTCAAGTTGCCTTTTTTTCACATTAGTCCAAATGGACTTTTATGGCCTTTAGTAGTAGGACATTGTGGCCTCCATTTCAAGCCCCCCTCTCAGGAAAAATGTTTATGCCACAGAGGAGTGTTCCGACTCTCCTTGTATGGCCCATACGGATCACAATGTTTTTTGTTTGTTTGCTACTAACAGACAGGGAATGCACAATAGACCTGCATAATTTTCCTTTTCTTCGAGTAGTTATGGCACTGGACGTCTTCCACATTTATAAGAGCCTAAAAACTCAATATATATAATTTTGGCAACTTTACAACTTGACAACTTTATAACTTGTTTTACATTCTCTTACTTTAATTATTACATTTTGTAGGTTAAAGCCAGGATAGCGGGATTGCGATTCCCATTACTTTTTTTGTTGCCGTTATATTTTTTGTATGGCTCATGATCAAGAAGTTGCATATATGGAAGAGAGAGACTAAAACAGGGCAAGAAGATATGAAGATTTTTTGTTTTATTTTGGTTATGTAAAGAGCTTGTAGATATTGTACTTCTTTGAAATTTGTATATATTTTTGTATAAAATCATGATTTGGAATTGGTTATATATATATATATATATATATATATATATATATATATATGATGTTATTGGCCAGTTGTAAGTTATTTGGGTTATGATGCTATTTTTTATTTATAGGGTTTGCTTCTTGGGTCCTTCCAAGGCTAGTAGTAGGGCGAAAAAAAAAAAAAAAGGCATCATAGGGGTTGTACACTATTTTTAAAAAAAAATAATATAAGACTTTCTACCACGGTTCTGCACCGTGGTAGAAAAAGGACTTTCTACCACGGTGCAAAACCGTGATAGAAAGCCGTCTACTTTCTTCCACGGCATTTTCTACCACGGTTCAAAACTGTAGAAAGCATTTTCCATTGTGATAAAAAAACTGTTTTTCTTATAGTGATCATTAGACTGTGCACTAGGTAGTACCTTATGGGTCGTAATTGTTCAAAATAAGTTGTATAGTCTTGATTGAAAACCAAGATCACATGTCTAAGTCTTTCTAATTACTTGATTTCACATTCAATTTTCAAGTTGTTAATCATTGATTACTTGTAACTTGTGATTTGGTGCTTGCGTTTTTAATTCCATTTAGTATACTTTTACCTTGTATATTTGTTTTGTGTGTATTTAAATTCCGTTTGGTATACTTGCACCTTGTATACTTGCTTCGTGTGTTTTTCTACTCCATTTAGTATACTTGTACCTTGTATACTCACTCTATGTGTTTTTCAACTCCGTTTAGTATACTAATACCTTGTATACTTGTTTCGGGTATATTTAAATTTCATTTAGCATACTTGTACCTTGTATGCATGCATGTTATATATTTCATTTCAACCGCTGATGTATCTTAAAATGATCCCTTAGTTCACCTTGGAACATGAACCACATGGATTATCACATGGATCAATTTATATCAACTTGTAAAACTTTAGGTTATACACATATTTATTTCCTACGAGTAACTTGTATACTCACCCTAGTGGTTTGGCTTATTTTTCTGGTAAGAAAATGTTATTTTGGGATGCACAACATCCCTAGGTTGCTACGATAGCTTAGAGTGTTTTGGAGCATTGTATTCATGTACTTGTTAGCATGTTTTACTTTATTTTAGTTTTATATGCCAAAACTCGTATCTTTTGTTCTAAATGTGTAATGTGCACTTGAGTGCACCTTTTGGGACATATTTCACATGTATTTAATGAGGCCAAGAGCCATTTACCTTTAAGTTTACTTTTATGTCATTTGGATTTCATGTTTAATTATGAAAATGATATAATTCGGTGGTTTGGTATATGATATTTTGCATATGACATGTATTAAGGCCGTAGGCCATTGGAACATGCTTAAATATGCTAATTACATTTGTGTGCATGTTCACAATTGCACACAACATCATTCTTGACGAAATGAACACTTAGTAGCACTCATTTTCACCTTTTTTTTTGTGAAATCTGGTTTAAGGACATTTAGGTTATTTTTTTTGAAAACTAAGCTTCGGCCTTAACATGGTCACTTAGAAAATGTGATTTTAGGGGAGGTTTCTTCACAACATTTTTCCAAAAAAAGTCGTTTTGTTTTCGAAAACCTCGCGTCAAAATTTGATTTTCTGGTGCATTCATTTTTCAGGAAAAAGTCTAATCTAAGAAGCATTTTGGACATTTCACTTGAAAAATAAGGGCTGGTCTTGACATGGTTGACCAGAAAACATGATTTTGGGGAGGGGGGTCACTTCACAACTTTTTTCCAAAAAGAGTCCTTTAAGCTTTCAAAACAACATTTTAAGTTGGAAAATCAGTGCCTACCCCTGTGGTTTGTTAGGGTGCTGCTGTGCGCACAAGCGCGCAGCGTGCGCCGTGGGTGCCCATGGTGCCCCGTCTTAGCAACCTTGTTGCCCTATTTTCTTTTGGCCATAACTTCTTTGTCCGGACTCCGAATCACGCGATTCTTGAGTCTAACTTCGTTGATTTTTTGTTATCTTTCTAGTGATTTGCACGGTGGCACCCACTTTTGTTTTGAAATGACCATTTTACCCCTAGGGTTGCAATTGTTCGTTTTTAAATTGTCACTTTCGCATCTTGTTATTTTTTGAGTTTCGTAACTTCATAGGAAGTTAAGTTGGCGTTTTAGGGATGACATGCATTCCTAGACACTTTGTGTCTTGGTGAAAAGACCATTTTGCTCTTGGGGCCATACTTGGTCTATTTTCAACCCTAGCTTCCGTTTTCATTCTCATTGAGTCCCGTGACTTCATGGAAGGTCACTTTGGCATCTTAGGGATGATGTACATCCCTAGAGGCCTTGTCTATGTTTTCGCTTCCGTACTCGGGATTCGTTTTCGAGTCAACTCTCGGGTCATCACAGGACGTACTAGGTTGTAAAACCAGGGCCGTCACACCTTATGAACCTGAAATCGACAATAAAGTAAATTAAAACTAAAATGGGAAAGTAAAGATAGAATAATGTGCTAACTAATGCAAGAATATGGATTGAATTGTGCATCTTTCAGCACTTATCACACCCCCAAACTTACATATTGCTAGCAAAGATATAAAATAAAAATAACAACTAGACAACTCCTTTTTTGTAGGGAACACGGGTGCATTTAGCATATGCAACAAGCTTGTTAAACCCTTAGGTTACCCTTAGTGGACGAGTGAAGTCTCGTGAGGGTTTTTAGAAATGATACCCACAAACATCGAGAGCTCGTCATCACTTATAAAGCATTAAATCACATCTCAATAATTATTAAGAGAATACTATCCCAAGTATGCAAATTTCAATCGTTTCTAAGCAATTCCCAACATTTTGACCTTATGCAAGTAAATATGGTCCCACGCATCAAACAATCTAACCATGCTCATCAAAATCAACCCTACCATCCTTTTTGAGTGAACCGGCATTCAACTATGTTGCTTAACTTATCATAATCAATGCAAAGATCTAAATCCGGCCTCAAACTAGAAAACATCTCAAATATCAGGATCATAAATGAACTTTTTTTTTTTTTTTTTTAGGATCGAAGATAAGAGCATAGTGCAATGTAAAGAACTCTTAAGTTTTCTAGAAAACTCATGTAACGAGCGTTGGGTAAATGGCTCCCAAACTGGACTGCTTTAGGCCATTAGGTGTCAAGACACCCCTAAAGACTTAATAGCTCAAGTCAACTAGGCTACAAATTAAGACAACTCTTAACTTTTCATTTCCCAACTCTTCACCTTTTGACACTAGAGTTCAATGCTTAATGAGCCAAGAATCCCGATTACTCACTAAAAGAACATTTATTATCTCATTTGGGCCCGTCACCTTTCAACATGAGAATTCAATGCTCAATAAAGCAAGAATCCCAGTTATTTGGTAAAATGTTTATTATTTAGCCGGAAAAGTCATTATGTCAAGTCTGTTGATTTCTCAAAGTCCATTAGCTCAACTAGGACAAACCTAAACAATAATCAACTAAGCATATACCCACACGATGAATGCTAGCGTGCGCCTGTACAACTGTAGTACTCTAGAATCAATTATCAAAACATGTTCAACAAGAAAGATAACGTGGACCACAAAAGCAAGCATGATGTCAAAAATTTAAAATTTACCCCCAAATGGCATCCTAGGCATACAAGAAATATTAGACTCTCAAAAATTGTTATGAAATGGCATTAAAGCTTCAAAAGATTGAATCATCGCTAAATACAATTCTCAACTCTCATATATGCATGTAAAGCTCAAAAAGATATATAGAATGTAATGAAGTTGTCTTACCCCCAAACTTAAACCACACATTGTCCTCAATGTGCAATAAGGACAAAAGATAAGATGAAAAAAGTATACCAGTATGGCAAAAACCAATAAAACCCAGCAACGAAATGATCCAGCTGGATGAAAATGCACCCCCAAACTTGGATTCAAAAACCTGTTGAAAGTACCACACTAGCACACAACCCATCAATAACAAAATGGAATAGGGATAAGCAAATAGTACACTCTAAAGCAATATAAAGCATGATAAAAGTGAGAGAGATGAGAACAAGTGCTAGATAAAGAATGAAAGTATGAAAGATAATGCATGACCACATAAAAAGGGCAAAATAGTGTAAACCTATTAAAATTTTTATTTATTTATTTATTTACAAATCCGATTAATCGAGGCACAGACGAGAGCGTGTTTTTGGAATATCTTCATAATTTTTCTAAGTGTAGGAAAATTCGATTGATTGGATAGAAACCCGATCGACCGAGTTCTCCTAAAAGTGACCCCTAAGCCATGAATGGCATGCTTGACCCAAAATTGCAGTCTTTTTGGTATTTTTGAAAACTTTTTCCAAGTAAAGAAGCAAAAAAAAGCATGAAAACCTAACTACATGTATGAAAAGAAGAACGAAAAGAAAAGAAAATGAAAGCAAAAGAAAGTAAATGAAAACCTACAAAAATCTAGGTAAAAAAATGAGACCCGATGTGCCTTGAAGGTGCTAAGTTTAACGTCTCTAGCAAGATGGAATGCTACCTCTTAGCCCGGATTCAACAATTCTATTATGTAACGACCCAGTCATTTGCCTCCCTTTCCTTTTTCTTGAAATTTTACGAATGAATTTTTTTTGTTTAATTTTCTTTTCTGAGCTCTGTTTTGTGTCGCTTAGTGTCATCTCGAGTGCTCAGAATTGGTTTCTGAGACTCTTTCATGTGAATTGACAACTTCCTTTGAGGACCGAGTCATTTTTGCATTTTCACTTTTCTGACACTATGCGTCTTTCGTCCTTTTCCCTGTTTCGTCTTTTTCCCTATTTTGTCTTTTCCCCATTTGTCACATTGTTGGCACAGCCTCACTTCTCATGCTTGGAGTTGGTTCTTGACTTCACGTGCCTTTATCTTGAGTGGTTTCCTTGAAATACGTATCTTTACTTTTACAAGAAAGTACTCTAGTTGCTCCCGGTGTCCATAGGGGCGTGGATGCACAATTCTTCAGAATCTTTTTCTTTTCTTGGGGTGTTTTTCGTAAATATCTTTTGAAGATATTTTATTTTAGGGGTATCTAAGAAAATATCTTTGGGAAGATATTTTCATTCTGAGGCAGTTTAGCAGTTAACCCTTTTTGT